AAAAAAAAAAAATAAAATAAAATAAAAATTATCTCAAAAATAAGTAAACTTAAAAATAGTTACTGGACGACTATGTGCCAAGCATTTTGCTAGGGGCTTGGGAACAGTGGTGAAAAAGACAGACCTGGCTCCTGCCCTTATCTTACACACACACACTGTTGGAAGGAAGACAAGTGAGCAAGCAATGACAAATGTGTTGAGAGTCACTAAGAAGTTCAAGTTACTATGGAAACTTTTACCAGGGGAAAACCAGTCCAGGGTATCAGGAGAGGTGTCCCTGAGAAATAATGTGTAAACTAAGACCAAAAGAATGAGCTGGCATTAGCTACATAAAGGGGGAGGAGGCTAAGGAAGAAAGCGGGAAAGCATTCCACAGGGAGGAAATAACAAGAGAGATCCAAATATACTGTCTAATGCAGAGTGAGGTGGAAAACAGCACACGTATGATTTTACAAAAATATTTACCAAAATCTTTTTTTTGTTTTAGGTTTATTTATTTTGAGACAGAGAGAGAACAAGGAAGGGGCAGAGAGAGAGGGAGAGAAAGAATCTCAAGCACGCTTCATGCAGTCAGTGCAGACAGAGCCCAACACGGGGCTCGATCTCAAGAACCCTCACAAAACACGAGATCATGACCTGAGCCAAAATCAAGAATCGGACACTTAGTCGACGACTGAGCCACCCAGATGCCCCTTCACCAAAATCTTCATGGTACAGTGTTTTTAACACTTGTTTATGTTTTGCTGTAGGTCTGGTATCATGGAGGCATGAATTATTTTTATAACTGGAGAAAACCACACAATTCTGCTATTTTCATTTGGGACTGATGACATTTTTTTTTAATTGTGGGTATGAACGTTTTGTCCATCTGGTTTCCTCCTTCTCCAAGTGTTGCAATCCCTGAAACCATTGCCCAAGTTGGAAGTCGATCCTTTGGTTCCTGTGACTAATCCAACATTCAGAATGCTACTGACTTCACACATCATCCTGGGGAGCCTATGCTTACATGGGAGTTTGGATCTAGAGGCAGTTCATAAGGCAGAGATCAAGTCCTGTCAAACCTGCCTTTGCAAAATCCCTAAATGGCCCACGAAACACAGTGCTGGGGTGCAGGGATAACTACACTGCCATGTCGTCCTCCAGCATTGGAATAAATCAGATTCTTCAGCTGGACACCAACTCAAGCAACTGGTTTGAGCCAGAGTGAAGAAAATCACACTGCGTCTTTAAACCTAGAAGCATACTTCCTGCGGACATGCTTCCCCTTAGAAAGGCCAGCTAGAAGGAAGTCTGACGGAAGAGGCAACAGTAATTGCCAGCTCCCATCTCAGGCTGAGGCTGGGACACACACTGAGTGGAAGAGAGGACATACCTGCCCTCCCGGTTTGTTTGTTTGTTTTAAGATTTTATCTTTCAGTGATCTCCACGTGGGACATGAGGGTCAAACTCCCAACACCCAAGATCAAGAGTCCCAAGGAGCCTGCTATGGAATCTGTGTCTCCCTCTTTCTCTGCCCTTCCCCTGCTCACGCTGTCTCTCTCTCCTTCAAAAATAAATCAACATAGGGGCACCTGGGTGGCTCAGTAGGTTAAGTATCCAACTTCGGCTCAGGTAATGATCTCACAGTTCGTGAGTTCAAGCCCCGCATCCTGCTCTGTGCCGACAGGTTGGAGCCTGGAGCCTGCTTCAGATTCTGTGTGTCTGTCTGTCTGTCTGTCTCTCTCTCTCTGCCCCTTTCCCTGCTCGTGCTCTGTCTCTCAAAAATAAACGTTAAAAAAAATTTTTTTTAATAAATAAATAAACGTTAAGATTTTATCTTTATGTGATCTCCACATCCAACATGAGGCTCAAACTCACAATACCCAAGATCAAGAGTCCCAAGCTCTACCAACCAAGCCAGCCAGGTGCCCCTGTCCTCCCTGTTTTAATCATTATCTTTTTCCTTTTTTTGCCAAGCAGATAGGGTTAAGTGTGCTTAAACCGAAATGTGTTCATTTGAATGCCCTGTAAACCTAGCAATGTCCTAGAGATGCCAAGGAACAACTAAGAAATTCTATACCACCTAGTTTTGGCCTCAAAAAGTTTATGCTCTTGGGGCAGACAAAATTTTCAAAAAAAGTATTTAGTAATAGGGATGCCTGGGTGGCTCAGTCGGTTAAGCATCTGACTTCAGCTCAGGTCATGATCTCACAGTTCGTGGGTTCAAGCCCCACATCAGGCTCTGTACTAAGAGTATGGAGCCTGCTTGGGATTCTCTCTGTCCCGCTCTCTCTGCCCCTCCCCCACTCACACTGTTTCTCTCAAAATGAATAAACTTAAAAAAAAAGCATTCAATAACAAAAAAGCATGCGAAAGTACAACATACTAAGTTGTAAATTGGTCTTGTCACAGGTCCTGAACATACCTATTGTAGGGATGGTAGTCACAATCTCTCCCAGTTTCAATTTATACAAGATGGTGGTTTTTCCAGCCGCATCCAAACCCACCATAAGAATCCGCATCTCTTTTTTCCCAAATAGACTTTTAAACAGTTTTTCAAAAACGTTCCCCATTGTGACTGAATTCTGTTACCTGAAAAGAAAGGCAAATTAAGTAACTGTTCTTTGCAGAGATATAGAAACGCCATACATAAAATACAAGTCTGTGTCAGAGGTGGCTCCTAGTAAAATGTAAACAATTTTAAGTATAATTTGGCCATTAAAGAGTAGCGTATTGGGGCGCCTGGGTGGCTCAGTCGATTAAGCGTCTGACTTCAGCCCGGGTCACGATCTCGCGGTCCGTGAGTTCGAGCCCCGCGTCGGGCTCTGTGCTGATGGCTCAGAGCCTGGAGCCTGCTTCCGATTCTGTCTCCTTCTCTCTCTGCCCCTCCCCGTTCATGCTCTGTCTCTCTCTGTCTCAAAAATAAATAAACGATAAAAAAAATTAAAAAAAAAAAAGAGTAGCGTAACTAATTTTCAAAGGGAAATTCAACTAAGCTTTTTGATGTCTTGCCACAAAATTCTCTTTTTTCATTGCAGCACCCAAGTGGGATAATGGAAACACAGTCAATGATACCACTATGGCAGCAGGCTTTGGTCACCCTAAGTATGGAAGCCATGCCACAACATATACATCTACACTCACTTGAAATGAGAACTAATGAAGGACAGAACCAGTGTATTTTTTTTTAATGTTTTTATTTATTTTTGAGACAGAGAGAGACAGAGCATGAGCAGGGGAGGGGCAGAGAGAGGGGGAGACACAGAATCCGAAGCAGGCTCCAGGCTCTGAGCTGTCAGCACAGAGCCTGAGGCGGGGCTCGAACTCACAGATCGTGAGATCATGACCCGAGCCGAAGTCGGACGCTTCACCGACTGAGCCACCCAGGTGCCCCAGAACCAGTGTATTTTACTGGATGTGAAGCAAAGTCCTTAAGGCAGGTTAAGTATCAGTATCTCTTAGAAATTTAGTAGTTGCCTTTGGCTAGCAATCAGTATCAATATCCAGAAAAGAACCTACAAAATTTTCAGAGGGGAGGAAATAGGGCATTGAGACACCGCACTGCTAATAGAGAAATTGGGCAAAGAGTTGAGGAGATCCCATAGCATCCAGTGTTGACATCACCTGCCTCCCAACCAATTTTTTTTTTACTTTTTGTTGAAATATAATTTACACACAGATAAAAACACACACGCTAACCATACAGTTCAATGAAATGTCAGGAACCAATCATAAAAAGATGATTACCAGCGAACCAGAGCTCCTTGTTCCTCAATCCCAATCTTTACCTCCCAAAAGGTAATCACTACTATTGATATCTAACAGCATACATGTTCAATATTTTATTTTTTAGGAGAGTGCATGATAGATTCTATATAAAGAAAGGCAATAGTAAAGACAGACTAGCTTTGCAGGAATTTACAGTCTTTTAACACATCAGCCTATGAAGTGTAAACTTGACATTCTAAAGACTTAAAATAGTACTGTGTCTGAATCTCGAACCAAGCTCCTCAAAGTCTACAAAGATTCTCCCACCCACCCCCCCCCCCCCCCCCCCCCCAAAAATCCTTGTTATAAAGACTATGATTTTCCAGTTAAACTGCTAAACAAAGAAAAACTTTACTCCCTGGCAGAGCAGAGAGAAAATGCAGTAAGGACTGCCAATCTCATTCATCTGGATCCTAGTGACCTCAGAGGGGAGGTCACCAAATTCCAGAGGCCTCACGAATGAAATTCAACGGTTTCCCACAGTAGCCTAACACGTATGATGTCCAAGCATACACCATTCTGTTCCGCCATCAGAGAAAAGAAGCATTTATCCCGTACATAAATGAAGTAAAGATGAACTGCTACAACCAAAGAACGATGAATGCTTTTATCATTCATAGATGGTTTGTATGTAAAGTATACAAACGTCCAGGGCATTGCAGCAGTCAAAATCTTATTGGGCGACAAAACTAGAGACGCCTTGTCTTTGTTTCCGAAAAAAACGCAAACCGCATAGATGAGAAAAACTGTAAGGAACGTGCTGGGAGTGGAGTGGGGAGGTACTTCCCACTTACACGTCCTTGGAGCCAAATACTCGTGCTCCGTTCCCCCTCCCAACCACACACGGTACACCACCTAGGTTTTCCCTCCTGCTTCTCTTTCCCTCTTCTCCCTCCTCATCTGCCAGAGGCTCCCAAATCCCGCTGCGTTTCTGGAAACCCTCTGGGGAAAAATATCCCCGATCCCGGCGCCTCTTTAGCACGTTCACCCTTCCCTGCCACAAGCACCAACTATCCATCAAGGAGGAACAGCGGCGAGACCCTCTGGGCGCGAACGAGAAGGGGGCGGGGGAGGGGAGCAAATGGGCGTGCGCGGCGGGCAGGCACGGGCTCCGGGTCCCCGGGAAGAACCCAGAATGCCTTTTCTGCCCGTCCGCCAGGCCGCTCCCTCTCAACCTGCCTGCCCTCGGGAGAGCGGAGGGTCACGGTGGACGCGCCAAGCTTCCCCCGGGTACCCGCAGCGCTGGCCCTACAGAAGGTGGAAAAGGGACAGGGAGCCCGACCCCTTTCCGCAGGCCAACCGCTGTTCTCTGGTTTCCTGGCCGCTGACGGTGCGGAAATCCAGCCAGGCCTTGAATGCTGCCGCCCCTTCTACCCAGCCGCACTTACCTGCCGCCGCACAGGGCACCGTTACCCACACCACTGCCTTTCGGATTTCGGCTCCCCTCTGCAAAATGGCGACTGGCGCGGGGGCGGGAACGGCAGCCAACCAATCATCCATCGCCTCTTGGAGCTTTCGTACCAATGAGCTCGAAGTTCTGTGAGTGACGACATGTCTGGCCAATGCAAAGGATAATAAGAGCCTGGGCGGGAGGAGGCCCGCCCCTCGCGACCTAGGCGACGGCACGAAGCTCTGGAAATGCCGGGTTTATCTTCCAATGACAGCTCCCGGCTTCCAGGCAAGACACTCCCACATGCCCCGCCCCAGTGCCGCGCGCGACCAATCAGAAAAGTAAAAGGATTTCCGATTTGCTGCGCCAATCAACTCGGAAAAATCCTTGGGATTGAACTAACCCCGGGAGCATTGGAACCAACCGGGTGGGGGCATGTGGGCGGGGCCAAGTTCATAAGGATATTTAAGGAAATTTACCGTGGTTGAGCTAAAAGTAGAAACTAGTTTGGGGCGGTGTCCTCTGTAGGAAATACCCAGACGCTGACACCGAATTTAGGCTTAAGGAAAGTTTCCTACTCAGTCTGAAGCTAGACTGCAGCCCTGCCTCTAAACAAACAGATTTTCAACAGTTGGGTAAAATACTAGCCACCTGCAGCGTTCAGATGTCACAGTACCACAGTCTTCACTTCACTTCCACTCAATAATAACTCAGTCCCTCTCAATGCCAACTTGGTTAGCTAAAAAGGTAACCAACTGCTGTAAATGATACCTAACAAAAAATAATCGAAAATGAACACCTGCTGAACACATACCGTGTGCCATGAAAGTCAAGGGCTTTACCTGCATGACCATAACGCCTCGTGAATTAGAAACTATCATTTCCATTTTACAAAGAGGAAAATTAAGTAGCCGACCACAGATAAAAGCTTAGGTCTTAATCTTTTTAATGAAATACTTTCTGTCCCGGCCACAGTGATTGTACATATGAAAGTAAACATATAGGAGGTTTTTCTACATGACTCCTTAAACATTTTTTCTGACTATAAAAAACTTATGCAAAGTTGCTTTTAAAAATACATGAAAAATGGCATTCCTCACCAGAGAGAGGAAGAAAAGGAGGAAGGGGAAGAGAAAAGAAAAAAATTACCCATCATTCTATCACTTAGAGGCAATCACTGATATATTTTCAATTACTTCTTTCCAGTCATTCTTCTGTGCAATTTTTACATAGTTCAGATTAGGAATACATAAAACTTGGGTTTTTTCCCAGTTAGCATTTTAATCTGAGCATTTTCCACATTACTTAACATTGTAACATTTCTTAAAATTTTTTTTTTAATGTTTATTCATTTTTGAGAGAGAGAAAGATAGAATGCGAGCAGGGGAGAGGCAGAGAGAGAGGGAGACACAGAACCTAAGCAGGCTCCAGGCTCTGAGCTGTCAGCACAGAGCCAGATTTGGGTCTTGAACTCATGAACCATGAGATCATGACCTGAGCTGAAGTCTGATGCTCAACCCACTGAGTCACCCAGGCGCCCCAGTATTTTAACATTTCTGATAGCTGTGTGATATTCCATCATACAGATATACCCTGATTTATTTAATCATTTTCAAGGAGTTCAACATTTAGATTGCGTTTAAGTTTTTCTATGTGAATAATGTTGCGGTGAACTTTTCCACCCCAGCATTCCTTGCTATTTTTTTCAGGAAAGAAGTCCAAAAGTGGAATCGCTGGGTCAAAACATGAAGTTGTTTAAGTCTCGATAACAATTACACAGCCAAATTGTATTCTGAGTAGACTGTACAAACGAACATTCCCATCAACCAAGTGAAAACAGTGCTTACTTCATCATTTGGTAAGCTCTTTTTAATGTGTTTTGTTTGCTAATTCGATAACCACCAAAAAAAGGATCTCATGTTGGTTTCATTTTCATTTCTTTGATTACTTGTTTTTTCCCAAATGTTTACTAATATTTGTATTTCATCTACTACATCTATTCATGTCTTTCTGCTGACTTTCAAGTCAAAGATGCAAAACTGTTTTGCCAGCAACTATAAGGTTGCTTAAATGGATTCCTCATAACGTGAAAAAAGGATGAAATAGCAAAAAGCTTTTTATCTACCATTGTTTATACCTACAGAAGGAATGTTGGAGCTAATAATAATGAGACTTTATCCCTCCACCCCTACTGACCTGAGAATATGCATTATTTTCCCAAGATCTACATTATGCCTGTGAATAAAACAAAGTCCCTGCCCACATGGCACTCAATTATTAAAGGATTACAACCATATATAGATTCACACATTAACACAGAGACATGTTTTATATACATACACACACACATATTTATGTTTTATCTTTTTATATGTGTTTTTTATACACACATATATGGTTCATATATTTTTTATTATGATATGCATGGGGAATGTGTGGGAGAGGGGCTAGAAGAAAACAGCTCTAATTTGCTAGTAAGTGTATTCAGGAGACAAGGTTGTGATTTTAAGTGATCTAGAGAAAATACTAATTTCAGAGGGCAAAACTCAACTTATTTTTTTTTTAAATACAAAACTGACAATTAGGAATAAGGTTTAATTGAGATCATGGTAACTGTTGAGGGGAGGTTCATCCAGCTCAATTGTGGTGATCCAATAAATAAATTGCTACTGTAAGTGATGTTGACTGATTGGTTTTTATTTTTTAATTTTTTTAATGTTTATTTATGAGAGAAAGAGAGAGAGAGAGAGTGGGGGAGGGGCAGAGAGAGAGGGAGGCACAGAATCCAAAGCAGGCTTCAGGCTCTGAGCGGTGGGCCCAGAGCCTGATGTGGGGCTCAAACCCATGAACTGTGAGATCGTGACCTGAGCCAAAGTCGGTCGCTCAAACTCAACCCACTGAGCCACCCAGGCGCCCCGGGGGCTTTTTGTTAATAGAAAAGATCACATGTCAATAGAAGGTTATTTGCACAGCATGGAAAGTACAGAGTGCTCTTGGGAGATCATTTTATCCTGAGAAACATTTTATTTGGAGATAGCTTTCCTTCTCTAAGTTAGACTTTAAGATTAGTTAACAGCATTACCAGTAGTATAGTATTCTTGGTGGTGGTGGTTAGTTATCTGCTGCGTAATTGCTGGATCTGGTACTAAATGTGTCAGGTACTGTGTGATAATTATCTCATCTAATTCTCACATGCAAACATTTAAGTTCAGAGAGTCTAAATGTCACATAATATACCCACATCGCCTTCCCCCAAGTATCACTAAACTTATCCCTCTATTCTTTTTTTATTATTATTTATGCCCAACATGGGGCTCAAACTCATGACCCTAAGATCAAGTGTCACATGCTCTACCTACTGAGCCAGCCAGGAGCCCCCTTAGCCCTTTATTCTGGTCACACTTCTGCTCAAGAGAGGTCTTCTCCCTCTCTTGAAAAACCCTGCTGTACCTGTTCCTTGCCCTAGAAACAGCCCTCCAGAAAATTAATCCTTAGGAGAAACCTTAAGACACACCTTCACTTTTTCTCTAAAGCCTTCCTGAGAACCGCCAGATAGCCAGTATTGCCAAGCCCAGTGAGCTGCAGTTTGTGGGCCTCTAGTGTCTTAAGATTTCAGGCAACTCAGCCTTCCCAGAAGACTCTGACTCCCTTTTCTCAAAATGCGTGAAAGCTCATATCTGGGGGCGCCTGGGTGGCACAGTCGAGTAAGTGTCAGACTCTTGATCTCAGCTCAGGTCATGATCTCACAGTTCGTGAGTTCGAATCCTCTGTAGGGATCTGCACTGATGCTGCGGAGCCTGCTTGGGATTCTGTCTCTCCTTCTCTCTGCCCCTCTCCTGCTTGTGCACG